GAAAACAGAGGCAAAGAAACTGTTAAAAATATCAGCTTTCTTGTCTGGCTTAGCCACAAGATTACCGTTTGCGTCTTGCAGGGGCCCTACATTGCCTGGTGCCCTCTTTTTTTCTCCCAATGTACTTGAAAAAGGACTTTTTATTGTCCTTAATCCTGGACGCTAGCCTGAGTTCCATCTCTGCCTTGGCCTTCCTAATAGCCCTCCTACACTCATGGGCCGAGGAGGAGAACTCCTCCCTTCCACTGGTTGTATGCCCCCCTTTTAGTCCTCAGGCATTGCTGAATGCCCTTGCTGAGCCAAGGGGGTTTCTGAACACTCTTACCCACCTTGCTTCTCTCAGGGACTGTCATCCTTTGGGCCTGGAGGATCGCCCCCTTAAGGTACGACCATCCCTCGTGGACTCCCATCTCCTCTACCTTCTGGGCCCTCAGTACCTCCCCCACTAGTCTCCTAAGCTCATTGAAGTTAGCCCTTCTGAAGTCAAGGGCTTTAGCTTTGGTGTAAGCCCTTGACCCTGCGTTGGATAGTGAAATCCAGCAGGTGATGATTCCTATTGCCCAGGTCGTCATGGACCTGCAGTCCCCTCACCAGGTCATCACCCATGGCCAGGACCAGGTCCAGCAAGGCGTTACCCCTACTGGGGCTGTGCACTTCCTGGATAAGATGAAGGTCCTGTAATACAGCCAGGAACCTATGCGAGCAGTCAGACCTGGCTGTCTGCTCCTCCCAGCAAATGTCTGGGTAGTTTAGGTCACCCATGACAATAACATCCGTTGACCTAACTGCCTCCATAAGCTGACTGGAGAAGTCCTGGTCCAGCTTTTCCCCCTAGTTGGGTGGTCTGTAGTAGACACCGTAAGGTCCCTTTCGCCATGCCCCCCTTGTAATTTGACCCATAGTGTTTTTGCCCAACCCTCCTCTAACCTGAAGCTAATCCTTGATGATGTGAGGTGCTCTTTGACATAGAGCGCAACCCCCCCACCTTTCCTCTCTGTCCTGTCTCTTCTATATAGGGTGTATCCCCAAATGCCCGCCGCCCAGTCGTAGGTAGGGTCCCACCACTCATCATTTAAGACTATGTAGAGAAATGATATGGCCCCAGAATATGTCATTGCACACAAAATATTTTTATTTAGAAATTGCTGTTAGTTTCTGAAATGCCCTCATACTCTGAAAAATGTCCTGATGTGGTAGTACAAAAACAAAATAAAATGAAAAAAACAATTGGAGTAACATGGAGCATTTATCTACACTTTGTAAAATAAAGTTATGTTAAAAATGTATTTAACTTCAGTAAGGCTGTAAGTTGATCTGTCAGAAATAGAATATTTCTTAGTTGCTTCATATACCTAGCAATGCATAAAATAAATTGCTGCCACCAACAATAAATGTTCTATCCTACAATGCCACAGCTGTTTCTGTCCTATGAATGTCTGTCCCAAGCAAAGCAAAAAAACTGAAAAAGAATATAAATACAAATACTAACATATTAGGGCATGTTTTGGTTCCTTAGGACCCAAACTCACATAATTGGAAGATTGAATTTCAACTTGGCTCACAGTGGAATTTTCTGTAGAGCTCTCCCAACTTTGGTTCCAAACACATGAAATGGGAAGTTGCTTAAAGCTTCTGATATAAAATAATATCCTTACTAGATATAATATAAAAAATAATATCCTTAATATTATTGCTATTATCTAAAATAATATTTAGGATGATACTTATTCAATGCTTTGTTAATTTTTGAGAAAATGGGAATTTACAGTACCCAAGCTCTCCAAGCATTTTCAGACTTAAGAAGATTTATCATTGCCTCAGCTCCCTGGTGCATCCATCCTGTACACTGAAGTTCTACAAAAAATAGTCAGGTACTTAAAGATTGAGACCTAAGGTATGTACACAAGGGAGCTCAATTAATGTTGTCCAGGCAACCGTGTCTCATATTTCTTAAGTTTTGAGTGCTTGACTTTTACAGCCCCAAATAGACTGTGTTCGGGGTCTGGCAGTTGCTCAGTGGGCAGGAACAGTCAGTCTCCTCTCTCATTTCTCTTTGTCCACCCATGCTTCTCCACCACAAGTGAGGAAAGTCCTAGTTCCTTTTCCCATGTGCTGCCCCCAAGGTAGGAAGGTCAGAATTATGCTGACCATATGCTGGGTTTGTCATGCTTCTTGAGGATGACTGTGCACAGCTTGGATCTGAGTGATGGGTCTGGAAGGAGAGCACAGCCCAGCCACCCTTCCACTTAAATTGTTCTGGGGGTTCTAGGCTCCCAGGGCTTTTAGTTTCTGCTGGTACTGCTACACTGCTAGTGGCATTCACTCAGTCTTAGAATCTTCAGGTTCATTTATTATTTTATCAGGCTGCCAAAATGTTTGTGAAGGAAAGGACTATGTCAGTGTTTTATGCATTTCTAGGAATATGAAACAACTAAGAAACATTCTATTTCTGGCAGATGAACTATTTCTGCCTTATTGAAGTTTAATTACATTTTTAACATAACTTTATTCAAATGATGGAGGCCTGAGAGCTTTGTACAGAAAAGATCATAAGAACCGTTACAAGGGGAAGTGTTAAAAGTTAAGATGCTATATTACAGAGGTGCACTGATACATCGGTTCATATCGTATTAGCACCAATAAAAGGAAAATTTACATTATTAGCAATTAGGTTTTTTAGCTGATGTGGCTGATTAATGTTGCCAATAAATGCATTAATGTTGCTGCATGCATGCGCGCAGCCACAGCTTGTACGTGGCCACGAGTGCAGCCTGGCAGCTTGGAGAGCAGTGTCTGTGCCTGGGCCAGGTGGTGCTGAGGGATCTGCCATGAGCTAAGTGAAATCCCTTGGAGGGCCAGATTTAGTCCATGGGCTGTGTTTGCCGACCCCTGGCCAAATGAACAAGGGCACGTATCTATCAGGATGATGTCTCTTAGCCTTTCTCCAACCAAGGAGTGCCCCCAAGGCAGTGGGAGCTAGGGTTTTGAGGCATGCTATATTCACCTTACTCTGGAGTTTGCAGCATTGTGATATTTTATAGGAGCTACCCTGCCAGTAGCCCCACCATGTTGCCACCAGGCTCTCTAGTTGGATGTGGTTTACCAATCATACCCAGAACTATAATACAAGATATGCATTACTCAGTTTTTTAGGGCTTTTATTAATCTTTTGGCGTGGAAAGATATAAGAATGTTACAGGTTTCCCTTGATTTACGTGGTACATGCATTCCTGTAAAACTGCGCATAAATTGAATTTGCAGAAAGGGAACCCAGTTTACAATGTAAGAAATAGTGATACATTCCCACGGTTATGAGAGAGGGAGGTAGTAAGGCTGGGTCTAGGGATGGGATGAGGAGAGGGGAGCAGCTCAGCCCGTCGGCCACTCCCAGGGCTGCAGCAGGGAGCAAAGCAGAGGAAACTGTGAGTGGGTGCAGGGCAGGGGTTATGTGCACCCTGGGAGGGCTGGAAGCTGGGGGGCTGTGCTGGGCTCTTCTCGGGGGGCGTGTGCCCCCAGATCAGTGCGCAGGAGGAGAGCAGGCTGTCACTGCAGGCTGGGGCTGGCAGCGAAACTGGGTTCTTCCTGGTGCTCGTGGTGGACCACGACAATGGGTGAGGGGCTGCTGCCAGTCCAAAATTCACCATCGCGCCCCCCCCCCCAAACCTGCCCTTGCAGTGCTGCTGCCAAGTGCCAGGAAGAGCAGCCTGCAGCGGCAGCCTGCTCTCCTCCCACATGCAGTTCCAGGGGCATGTGCCCTCCTGGGAAGAGCCTGGCACAGCCCCCCAGCCTGCAGCCCTCCCAGGGTATGCATAGCAGCAAGAGCTGGCCCCACCTCCCGTCCTGCACCCCACACCCATTCACAGTTTCCTATGCTTTGCTGCCTGCTGCAGGCCTGGGAGCAGCCAACGTGCTGTGCCCCACCCCCGCCCCTTCCCCTACAGACTTACTTTGCTGTGCTCTGGGCCTCTGCTTGTGCCAACTCACCCCAGTCCCTGCTGCAGTGGCCTCAGGAGTATCACGGCATGGCACAGCCCAGGAGCTGGAGCGAGTGGGTACAAGTGGAGCCCCGGAGCCAATTGTATAAGAGTGAATTTACCTCGCATATAACGAATTTGGGGTATAAAAAGGGTCATCGCATAGGAGTGAAATTGCATATACGGAACCCACATAAATCAAGGAAAACCTGTACTCATTTACAAGAGGGGTTCATGATGTCCTTTCTTGAACACTAGCAAATGCCTACATATGTGAATGTGCACATACATTCTCTCACACCCAAGGTATTATTTACAATATGCAATGATTTTCAAGAATGATTTTGGATGCCTACATTTTTGGGTCTCCAATTCCAAGACATTTTGAAGAGGGCTGCCTTTTAGAAAGTAACACACCCTTTAAGGCGTCTCAGGTTAAGGATCCAAAATCTCTAGTCGCTTTTGAAAATCCTGGCCTAAAGGGCTATCTTGATTTTATAATAGCTAAATATATTTTACCTTTCCTTCAATCAGCTTAATTATGAGTCCCAGTTTGAAAAGTATACCTGTTAGTTACACTATATAAAGGGACTGAAAACAGATGTAACTAATAAGACTTTTATTAAATATATAGAAATCTATACAGAGATAAGAAATTACATAATATAAAATACAGCTGAATGAAACCCTTATTCTACTTTATTTATTTTCTCTTCTAAAATCAAACCTTTCAACCTGTTGTTTAATCTATTTGAAAAATATAATCTCACTTTAAAATAATTTGTAGGCACTTGGAATGTTTTCAGCAGACATCTTGTTCTTATTACAAGTGAGTCAGAAATGTTAGAACCGTACGCTAAAATCTTTGCAGACTACATATTATACAAAAAAAATAATCTGTAGCAGGTGTGTTATATTTCTCAGATTATTAACTATATGCACATTTCCTGTAGGTTGAAAAGCAAGTTAAGAATCTGTACTATAACAATAGTGAGAGAATGATCCTGAAGTCTTACAAAGAGAATAAGAATTCTCTTCCAAGAGAGCTATTGCTGTGGCTGTTTACTTTCTTTGATGCCTTTTTTGGTACCTTGTCATTTTCCTTTCTCTTGGATTACTATATCTGCATCCTGTTACATTGACATTCATAACTGGCTGCTTTTGGGGCCTGAAGGAGATCATCACCACAAGAAATAAGACAACAGTTGCATAAAACAGAGGCTGAAGATGAATTTCCACTGTTATTATCAGGGAAAGGGGACTTTTACACCTAGGGTTCACTTTACTCAATTTCCTAATAATCCAGGCAAAGCCAAATGCAAAAGTCAGTGGCTGCTGTGTATCAGCCTCTT